TACAAGAAGAAATATACATAGAGAAAAATGGACTAAAAAAGATAAGCCTATAGCTCAAAAGGAGCTTAGGCCTACTACCTTCACCACAAGCCTATTCTTCTTGTATTTTCTTTAACATTATCCTTGTGATATGTCCTTTATTAATCAATATATTATCACTTATCTTTGATTCAGTCATTCAGAGACCAATTTACTCTTAAAATCTTTGACCCAAAATTTTCAACAATAACTAATATCTAAACAATAAAAAAATTACATAATTAATAAAACAATCAGTGTTACATATTAGTTTTGTTTAAAAGTAAAAATAAACATACTATTGATGCTATTAATTTCACCTCTCAGCATTGAAGATAATATTAATCTCTTCTCCGTTATGCGTCTTGTTTTTCAAAGTCATCATTTCAAAACAAACAAATCTTATCTGTGAGAATCTAACCTGCTTCACACGTGCACCAACTAGGTTTATGCAAGAACTTGCTTTGATTTTCAATCCACCCTAATGTGGAAAATAAAAGTAAAGGGAAAAACGACGGTTATTGCATTCGGTGCCTCTTATTCGTTTTTTTGAACCTTCTTAACTATGATTTAAAAAAAAATTAAAAAAAGATGATATTACATTACAAACATAGTTTTAAAAATCGGACTGGTCATCAAACCGGTTAAGATACTAGGTCAATGGGTCAAAGGTTAAACTGGTGAGTCACTAGTTGAATCGCATGACTCAATTTTTATTTATTTTTATTTACAAAAATTCATATTAAATATATTTTATACTTATAAATTTTAATAAATTCATATCTTATTTTAAATTTCAATTTTTCTATCTAATTTAAAATTATTTTTATTTTTATTTTGTAAAAAAATACATAAAAATATACATGTTAAATTGTATATTAATACAAATTAAAAATATAAATAATATGTACATATATAATATGCTTGCAATTGATATCACAAAATAATATATGTAATATCTACATAGATATTATATTATTAAATATATAATTTAAAATTAATAATATACTATAAAAGTTATTTAAGTTGTATATATTACAAAAAAATACATTAGAACAAGTAGTCATTATTATATTTAATAAGACTCTTTGCTCTTCCATTAAGAGATTCAATTTTCATTATTATTTTTGTGGTTTATGGTCCCTTAAAAAAATTAAAAAAAAAAGAAAAAAAAGTGGTTGAACCAGTTTGACCCACCAGTTTACCAGTTAAACCGAAAAATTGACCGGTTTAATCCGGTTTAAAACGGGTCAACTGCATAACAGATCTAACTTAAGATTCAGACTGGCTAGACCACTGATTCCCGGTCCAACCGGTCCGACTGGCCGGTTTAATCCGAATTTTAAATCACTGATTACAGGCAATTTTTTAAGATTAATTTTCACAAATGCTTTTTCTTTACTTTTTATTTCCCTTAAATAAATTCATCTTATGAAGGAAGCTTTGTGAGGTTATCCGCTTGTCAATGTACGTGGGCATAAATTCTTGCCCCTAAATAAAATTAGGAAAATGTAATGATAAAAAAAAAAACAAATTAGGAAATGTACAAACTACCTTCCAAAATTGAGATGAATAGTTGTAACGAAGAGAGAAATAAGCAGAGAGAAAATAAAAATAAAAATGAGATAAGTATATATGCGATGAAAAGAAAAACATAGATAAAAAAGAAAAAATGAGCTAAGAATTAAATTAATAGAAGAAAAAGTGGGCTTATGTTTACAATTACTCATAAAATGACTATTATAAATAAAATAAATAAATAAATAAATAAATAGATTTTTTTGCACTATAAGTTTATTATAAGGATAATATATTTTGTGAATATATAAAATGTGATAATAAAAAAAGCTTCTTTAATTTTAAAGTATATCTTTAATATTCACGTATAAAAGTAATGAAGCAATAAATAAAATAAAAAAGATGTGTCTCACATATTGTGTATATATTTTTATACATTTAATAAAATTTTTGTTAGAAATTATACATAATTTTAGATATCAACCAATGTATGATCAAGCAGGGTGGAGTTCAAATATTATGTTAAAGGGGACTAATTTTATTTTTATAACACTTATATGTAAATATTTTACTATTATAAATAATTTATTATTATTTATGTTTCCTTTATCGCTCTTTCTATTATATTATATTTTAATCTTACATATATTTATTTCCTTTTCTTTTTTATAAGTATAAACTAATATAATACTTTTTATCTATCAATCTATAATATTTTCTTTTATATAAATTTTAGGGGGCCAACAAAATTTTTTAAAGCAATTTTGACACATTCTAAAATAATGAGGGGACCATAACCCCTCTAGGTACTCCCTGCCTCTACCCATGTGATCAAGAGTAAGAAGAAAATAAATAAAAGTCTGATAATTAATTATGTAAGTAAATTAAACTAATATATATTTAAAATAGTTTAGATTTGAGTTTGAACTTTTAATTTTTTTTTAATGTTAAATGATTTGTGAAAGTAAGATTGATTTTCAAAGTGTCTTAAAAAGTGAGATTGACATAAAACAAATCCTTCTTTAATTAAGACCATTAAGTTATTGTCATGTCTCATAATTAAATTTAATACATGTTTTTATAAGTATACATGACTAGATCGGCTTGACTTAACTTACCATTTTGGATTTGATTTGAACACTTGATTTGGTTTGTATTTACTAAACTCGACCTTGCATATGTTTAGTTCAATTGTCGAGTTACCAATTTTGACACCTAATTAAAATCAACTCGACTTAAACATAAAGAATATTAATTCTAATATATGAGATCAAGAGTAAGAAGAAAATTAATAAAAGTTTGATATTATGTTAGTAAATTAAACTAATATATATTTGAAATAATTTAGGTTGAGTTTGAACTTTCAATTTTTTTTAATGTTAAATGATTTGTGATAGTAAGATTGATTTTCAAAATGTCTTAAAAAGTGAGATTAACATAAAACAAATCAAACTTTAATTAAAATCGTTAAGTTATTATCATGTCTCAGGATTAAATTTAATGCATGTTTCTACGAATATAAATGGGTAGATTGACTTGACCTAATAACTCTCTTTTTTGGATTTGACTTGAACACTTGATTTGGTTTGTATTTACTAAACTTGACCTTACATATATTTGTTCAGTTGTCGAGTTACCAATTTTGACACCTAATTAAAATCAACTCGCCCAAACATAAGGAACATTAATTCTAATCTATGTGATCAAGAGTAAGAAGAAAATAAATAAAAGTATGATATTATGTTAGCAAATTAAACTAATATATATTTGAAATAATTTAGGTTGAGTTTGAACTTTCAATTTTTTTTAATGTTAAATGATTTGTGATAGTAAGATTGATTTTCAAAGTGTCTTAAAAAGTGAGACTGACATAAAATAAACCAAACTTTAATTAAGATCGTTAAGTTATTGTCATGTCTCAAAATTAAATTTAATGCATGCTTATGAGTATAAATGGGTAGATCGACTTGACTTAACTCACCCTTTTAGATTTGATTTGAACACTTAATTTAGTTTGTATTTACTAAACTCGACCTTACATATGTTTAGTTTAGTTGTCGAATTACCAATTTTGACACTTAATTAAAATCAACTCGACTCGAACATAAAGAATATTAATTCTAACCTATTCACACTCACATTCACTTAGTTTCATTATTTGTTTTTCATGTTTGAGGTCATTTTCCACCTATTTTTCTCGACCACTATTTTTCTCACTATTTTTGTTAGGAAAGGAAAAATAGGTTTAGTGCACGAGCATCTCTAATATGACGGTCGTGGTCAAGAGTTGGTGTGCAAAAATATCCATTTTCTTAGTACAGGGATGGAGTGAACAAGGAAAGATATAAATGAAGATCAGTGATGGTTACCTGACCTGATTTTTTGAATATGGAATATGAGCTTTGGAAGGGAGGGTATTTTGATTGTCATTTGTCTATTTTCTTATAATTTATCATTATTTTGTTATCTGACATGATCACTTGACCCAAACAAATTTGATACAAGCCGACTTGTGTACTTACAAATAAAGAATCCGGATCAACTCAGTCCAATGTTATTTAATTGGTTTCTGGATTTTAAACACCTAAAAAATGTGACCCAACTTGATTTGATTAGACTATACATGTAATAAAAACACATTTTACAAAATTTTGTTACTTTGACTCAACCAGCACCCCCCATTAATAAATAATTAAGTTCTCAATCAATAACGTCTTGGACCACGGCCATTGAAAACTCGCCATGTAAGTGCTGCCCCAAGTCTTTGTACCACAAAAATCCATCCTGTTTACCTCCAGCATCGTATCAACTTGAACTTGGCCGAATGCACCTCAACAGATAACATCCCTCATCTTTCCAAATAACCTTTAGAGGAATTCAAAATTGAAACTTATGTTATTTTATTTTGTTGAAAATTAGGCTAAACTAAAACCCTTTCCTTTTCCTTTTTCCTCACTTCAGCAGACAAGCCCCATAAAAGGCCAACAATTGACCTACCTTGCTAGCTTCGTGGATCGGCCGAATCTCATTCTATAGCTTGTTGTATTTTAAGAAGAAAAAAAAACATTTTTGTAATTTTATTTAATTATATTAATTTAATTCTATTTTTTAAAAAACAAAACACTGCTAGATGTTGATGAGAATTGAAATGATTACGATCGAGAATCATTTAACAACTAAGAATACGTTTTAAGCTTCCGGTGTTTGCATAGTCATTTTATTTCAAGTATATTTTTACAAGACATAGGAATAAAGCACATTTTTTATGCAACTTCTAACTGGAGATTTTTTTTTTCCTGAGTTACTCTATTTCAAAACGTCTTTCCTAATATGCTATCTAAAAAGTGTTATGGAAAAAAAATATTATTAAGCCTTTTTGTCCCTTTTGTGCATTTTGTCTTTCATATATAGAAGAGTTTTCAAGGACTTTCTCACCAGCTGGTATTTATAAGCTTGCAGCTTTAGCTAGCTCTCATAGTCATAAGTTTATACCTTTCCCATCTCTTTTGTATGCTTCTCGTTCTTCCCATCACTTCTCACTTTCACATCTAAATTCTTTCACTTTCTTTGAGGGGGAAATACATCAATAGTTAATTGTGCAACTTTTATTAACAAAAGCACTCAAGATTAATTTTTTCTTCCGGTTTTGTTGATTTTTGGGGATGGTCAACTTATATCTATATTTATTATTCCCATCTTGTTAGCGACGACTATGGTGACAAATATTTTTTTCTCTCTCTGAAGAGACATGCCATGATGACATGCCCAAAAGTTGAACCGGTCTTGTTATCATTTCATCAATTTTGATTGGCATACATGTATATTTTCTTTTGTTGAGCCGCACATGTATTTCTTGACCCATCTACAAAATTTTCTTGATTGCAGGGTTATTAAAATCGGCACATCTGTTTTCTAAGCCAGAAATTCTTAATTGAGGTAATTTTCCCCCCTTTGGTTGTTAACACGAGAGGGATCCCATGTTAATTACAGCAAATTAAAGGAAAATTCTTGTTGCATGGAAAAACATATGAATGAGGATCTAATTGTCTTTGCTTGTATACATATGTTGAAGGTGCGTTTTTAATTAAGTGTATGTTTAGATGAGTGTTTGCGGGATTTAAAAAATGAAAATGATTTTAGTTAAAATTGATTTTGAAGTGAAATGATTTATGTTAGAATTTTTTTTTCACTTTAAAAGAAGATTTGATGTAAAACTTAGAGCTTGTTTGAGGAAATTTAATTTTTCCAATTTCAATTGTTTTTACAGGAAAAAAATATACTTGTAAAATAAGTTGTTTGTTTGGGATAATAATTGAAATTTATAAAAAGTTTAATTTTTCCTAACAAATAAGTTGTTTTTATGTATTTGAAAATTTGATCTTATGATCATTTTTCAACATCTTTTTTTTTTTTTTCTATAAAAACTGATATAATATATAGAAAATTATGTTTTTTATACCAAAATGAAATTATATATCCTAAAAATTTCTTTTCAAAAAACTTATTCACACAAAAATATATTCTAATTATAATCGATTATACTTATAATCAATTATTGAAATAATTTATTTTTCATCATTGTCTCAAACACACTCTTAGTATAATTTTTTTTTTCAACTTAAAACAAATTTATTTTTATCAATTTTAGTCAAAGTGAGATTTACCCACAAACAACCTGTGGCAGGAGAGCCTAGGAATTCAGGTCTTCTAAATACATGACATAGAGGATTAGCCCATGGAAACCGCATGTGGAAATATCTTGGATCCACACTGGACCTTAAAAAAAAAGTCATACCGAGATTTAGAAGTAAAATTAATTTTATCTAATAATAATCAAACATATATATTTTTACTAAAATGATATGAAGCATAATCAATTTTTGTTCAATTTTTACATGAAACCAAACACACTAATTAGTATATTTGTTTTTTCTTTTTTGGTCATTTTGGTATTACTTTGCAACACAAATCGCCCATGCTTTCTCAAAAATAGGTACATGAACTAATGGAAATTTGGCCAAAATGGAGTCAGAAGTGTCTAACCTTTTTCCTTATGAGCTATGAGCTCAATTATAGTTATATGAATTGATGATCATATGGTGAGGTGGCTATTACACATTGGCTATATAGCGCTACATCATCCCAGTGATAGAATCTCTAGTTTGGATTTGAGTATAAATCATATATATTAAATTTGTTTGCTTTCTGGATGCATGAACCTATAAAATTATTTATTCTTGTTCAGCCACATGCTGCAATTGGTTTCGAGGAGTATAAGCTTCATTTGGGTCACGATTATAACTGACTGTTTTAGATTAGGAAATTACTGTAGTACATTGCAACAGGTGCTAGGTGGTAGTATAGTAGGGTATTGGGAATATAGGAAGGGAATGAAAACATTCATTATGATCTCATACAAATCGGTATCTCTTGGTTAGGTCCTAATTCGTACTTGATCATATGCAAATTATCCCTAACCAGGGGTCACTTGGTAGTATGCTATTATAGGTAGAGTATTTGTATGTGGGTTATGTACCCCATTGTACTTCTTTCAATATATCTTTCTTTGCTGATAAATAAAAAATGCATTCAAGGAGAGCTCTTAAGTATTATAAATAATGAAATAGTAACAAGTATCATATTCTAATAAAAACCCAGATATTAAAATAATGCCTACTGAAATTATCTGTGAAGTGTTTTTTATTTTTATTTTAACTGTGATGAGTTTAATGAGATAAAAAAATTGCTTTTCAGTATATTTTTACGAAAAACACACTTTTTTTTTTAATTTTATTTTTTCACTTGTATATATATATGACCTTCGTTCCAAGTTGACTGTTAAAGGGAGATTGCTCTGACATTTATTATTTTTTTTTTTTTTGTAAAAATATCCTTATTTATAAATTAGCGTGAGATTAAATTCATTGGTTATACACTAATCTAATAAACTGTAGTAAACAAATTCTTTATAACCCAACCTCGATGACATGATTATAGGGTATATGCATCTCCCTTTTTTAGGTAAAAGATCGAAGAAAAGATTTTTTTTATTAATTTACTTTCTATGTCTGGTTTTTCCTTTTCAAATGTTTTTTCTTATAATATTATATATATATATA